TATGGTAAAATGTTTTATTACTCATCGTGGTGGTAATATAAAACTGATTAATCGGTTGCCTCATGATGAGCACGCCAACAAGACCGGTAACTGCCCGCTTTGGAACGAAGTAAAGTTTATTGATTGAGACTCACATTGGCACACCAGAAGAGTCAAGGAAGCTATCCACACAAGACTTCATCCTCATAACATCAACGAGGATAACGAAATTCCTGAAGCTTAGAAACCAACGATCAAGAAACACAACGGGAGACCGGTACGACAGAAAACCGTCGAGGGAATAACATCGGGTCAGATCTCTCGGAAAAATAGAACCGTCACCGGAACAATGGGGATCGAAATCTGCCAATCACTTTAGATCGCGTAAGCAGTCGACCCCTCTAATCACCTGATGAAGATTAGCAGTAAGCAGTCGAAATGTCGTGATCTACATCTCAAGTGACCTCATCGTTGATCTTATGACTTTCTCTACAGAATCTCTTGGGAATATAATTGATTGACAACGTGTCCCGGTCTTAGTTTCTAAGAAAACTCAACAGCAAGGCGCTAATCGTTCGCAAGAAGTGTCCTTCCCTGATAATTGAGTCAGAACACGCCTAAGGTAGTGCATATTTCGTCTAAGAATACTAAGCCGCTTCACGATAAAAAGAACAGAGATCCCATATACTGCAAACATAGGCATTCTACGCATGCAATGGTTATTTTTTCGGATGGGTGGGGTGAGATAGATCCTGATGCGACATTTTGAGCCTCTGACTTTTTCAATATTGTAAAGCAAAAAAGATATTTACTCTGAAAGTTTTTGCCAAAAATGTCGTTCGATTGAGAGCAAAATAGACCCTTTCAAATTATTGGAAATAAACTCAAATGCAGGTATTTTGTGTAAGATTGTTCATTTAGGGTCCATTTGGAGACAGCTGTGGGATTGTGTCAGAGGCGAGCAGAGATATAGACTTTAGTGCGCTTCAGTATGTTTATCAAGGATAATCACTATATACTGCCTTTAGGAGTCGCTCTTATTTATCATGAATATCATACGCTCTTTTAGAAAGTAGTTGAGTTTGCGGGGTTTCAGAGTTCTTTCAGTTGGTAACATTATACTGTAATAGCGCATTACTAATAAGATTCTCAGGGCCAAAGGGTGGACGCCTTATCATGGTGGTTCCAATTGGTGTATCCCTGCAGTTTACTGT